TTCTCATTGAGATATGATATCTGTTTTTCGTTAAATCGCTTGTTGGATTTAGTGGTTCTAAGTGCCCATCCCTCGGGTAGCATGTCTTCATTGTTGAACAGTGGAGTATCGGAGCTTTTCAAAACAGGCTGTTCACCAACACCTTGCAACACTTTCTCTGTATACATCACTTTGGCCTTGTCTATGAGACCTTGTCTTTCTGGCCGCAGCTCACATACTCCATATTCCATATGGTTTACAAGAGATGAGTGTCGATGATAATTCTTTATGCACCCCTCATGGGGACAGGTGAACAACTTTTCTTTTTCCTCGTCAATGTCGTCATCCTCATTATCATCGCCTTCGTCATCGGCGTTGACGTTAACCGCCTTAGTGGTGTTTTGGCTTCTGGATGGAGTGATGTCCACGAAATCACCAACAGAAAACTCACAATTGAAAGTTTTAAACGTTGTGAGGCACAAGCTGCCAGACACTGAAAATATATTGTATTGAAAATTATATGTMACTATCATCATCATCACCACCACCACCTGACCACCAGCACGACCAACAACAACAACAACAACACAAGCAACACCTATCATCGCCATCTTCGCTACCAGGACCATCATAATCATCATGTCATCACCACACTGCCATCATCATTGTCAAAACCACTATCACCACCACCACCACCACCAACAACAACAACATAAGCAACGCGAATGGCATCACCATCATTACCATCTTCGCTACCAGGACCATCATTAGCATCATGTGACCATCATCATCATCATTATCATCACCACTACCATCATCAAAGGCATAACCATCATTATTATCACCATCACCATCATCATTATTATCACCATCATCATCGCCATCGCCATCGCTATCCACTACCAACATCATCATTATTTTTAGCGAAATATGTTTACCATTTAGTTTAGCCCAAGGTATGATCTTTCCATTGCCTATGTCGTATGCTTTCCACGCTGTCATTTCTTTGTTTTCGATGGCAAAATTATTCAGCGTGCTGATGCCAATTATCTTTATTGGTTCCAAAGGCTTGATTCCTCCTGCGTCTACCAGTGCCACTCGCACACCACGTACGCCCCCGTTAGATAAGATGGCTTCTCTTAATTGAGCTGCATTCACTACATCGTGACCTTCGTTTATGTAYTGGCGAACATGACATTTGATTGTGGCAGCCTTGCGATCGCATGCCCCCTTACCACCCTGGGGATCACTGAAATCAACCCGGTCAACACTTATTCCTGTAGTTTCCTCCATAAGGCAACAAGCTGCCAACATGGGGCCACTGTGATAGCAGCCGGCGTTGTCTTGGCGATATGCAGCGGAGGTGATATCTGGGTGTTCTTTTTTTAGCTCTGTAAGAGTGTGCTGCATGATTGGTATGACCACGTCAGTATCTTGGCAACAGTTCTCTACAATATGAATGAATACTTGTTGTTGTAGTTTACCGTTTGCCAACCGCCTTATGACAACACTAATGTGCCAAGATATGCCTCTTTTTCCAAACCAGTCCATCTGTGTTTCTCTGTATTTTTGCGGCAAAAACTTCATTGCCCAGTCTTGAGTAATCAAAACTGAGTTTTCGTCTAGTTTGGCTAGAAGATCTGTGCAGGGCTTATCTTGTTGAACGGAACGTAGCTGTTTCCATGCTTCTATTGCGGCTACTGACTGCTGACGAGTAAATATCATATCGTCACGTTCTTCCTCTGGACGTTTTTCAGCTGTACTTTTTACACTTGACTCAATCGAAGCAAGGGTAGATTTTAGTTGTTCGCACGACGAACAGGAGTGATTGTGGAAGTGGTTGCACTTGGAACGGAAGGGGGTTGCTTCTTGTCACTCAAGGCGTAGACACAGCAGTGGTCAGGGACGTTTGAGGCATCAGAAATGTGCACCTGTAAGATTTAATAACAATGAGGTCAGTTTTGGACAAAATTAGAAGAGGTATTGGGTAAGCATGGTTTTAAGCATGGTTTTAAGCATGCTTTTAGAACCTTGTAGCCTTCCCCTCCCCTAATTTTCCATCTTCGCGTGTCTTGCAGTGGAATTTCGATAA